GTCTCACCTCTGCCCCCAGGGCATGATGGGTAATAGGGGCCCCTCAGCCTTGCCCCAGGGCATGATGGGTAATAGGGGCCCCTCAGCCTTGCCCCAGGGCATGATGGGTAATAGGGGCCCCTCAGACCCAGGGCATGATGGGTAATGGCGGGGCTCTTGACCCAGGGCATGATGGGTAACGCGTGCCCCTCAGTCCTGCCCCAGGGCATGATGGGTAATGGCGGGGCTCCTGACCCAGGGCATGATGGGTAATGGCGGGGCTCCTGCCCCAGGGCATGATGGGTAACGCGTGCCCCTCAGTCCTTCCCCAGGGCATGATGGGTAATGGCGGGGCTCTTGACCCAGGGCATGATGGGTAATGAGTTCCCATCAATCCTACCCCAGGGCATGCTGGGTAATAGGTGCCCCCTATGCTTGCCCCAGGGCATGATGGGTAATGGTGCCCATCACACCTCCAGCTGCAGGGCATGATGGGTAATGGCAGGGCTCCTGACCCAGGGCATGATGGGTAATAGCTGCGCTCTATCCCAGAGCATGAGGGGTAGTGAGGGCCCCAGGGCACGCTGGCTAACTGGCTACCTCCTGCCCCAAGGCATGATGCACAAATACCTGCCCCTTGCCCCAGGGCATGATGGGTAACGAGTGCCCATCCTCCCTGCCACTGCTCACAAAGAGTAAAAAGTTTCCCTCGCCCCTCCAGTCCCAGGCCATGCTGGGTTAGAGGTGCTTAGCATTTCTGCCCCAGGATGTAAGGTCCCAAGAGCTGTCCCCCCAAATCCAGGTCCTCCCCAATTAGAGCCCCCAAATATTGGGGATCACCCACAGCCTCATCACCCTCTAAAGCTGCCCCCATGGACTGCCCCCCTTCAGTCTGCCTTCCTGCTCATTCCATAAGAACCCCTCTAATCTGATCCCCCCTCCATTATACAGGACACCCTAAGACAGCGGCTCTTTCATTATAGTGAATCATAAGGAGTGTCCCTTACTGAAAGCCCCCTCCCAGTCTGCCACCCTCCATTAAATAAGCCCCTTACAATCTAATTCCATCATATAAGACAGCTGCTTTACTTAACAGTCTGACACCCCCACAAACTATGGGACACATTTAGTCTGGCTCTTAGTCTCACATTGAAAGGGACACTTTGGTCTATTTCCCTCATAATAAAACTGGTCCTCCAATAACAGACCCCTCCAAATCCCACACATTTATTATAGGTGACCCCCTTCAAGGCTGAGACCCTCTACCCCCTACCTTTGGATTGATCCCCAGTCACCAGAAAGTGGGAGGGATATGGAATAGGATTACAGCCCACCTTAAAGAGGGGGACACTTCCTGTCACCCAGAGTGGTTGGGGATGGGGAAGAGACCTCCTGTCCCCTCCTCCACTTAAGGCTATGCAGCAGTGACCAAGGCAAGGGGAGTATCACAGCATGGTCCCCCTCCTTGCAGAGGACACACTCCCAGACCAGGCGGCAAGAGGCAGCTCAAGTACCACAGAACGGGAGCCTCTGTAAGCCCTCCCTGCCCCCTCAGGAGTCTGATCCACTCCTATTTTATAAGAATGGCCATAGTGGGTCAGACCAAAGGTTCTTCCAACAATAGCCAATGCCAGGTGCCGCAGAGGGAATGAAAAGAACAGGGAATCATCAAATAATCCGTCCCAACCTCTGACAAATGGACGGTACGGTTACCATTCATATCCCTCCAAGCTAATAGCCATTGTCAAAGTCAGACAGGACTCACAGATTTGTCAGACCGCTCTGTTTATTAGCAAAGCTGCTCTGCTAAATGCACCCAGAATATGTGAGTACCCCACAAGGTTCAAATTCCTTGATTTATACAGTCAAAAGAAAGCCAAGTTAACAGGATTAAAAGAGGGGCAAAACTTCACATGATTAGTGTGAGGCTAGTCAAGTATCTTCATTTCCACATCAAGCACACAGCAATCTCCTGTCCATATCTCCCTGGTTATCTCAATTGCTTTCTCCCTAACACCTAATGTTCTTTTTTGCTATTAACGCAGGCCCACCTGGCTAGCACTTTGATTTGCATACCTACAAACAACATTAACATACTTTTCTTCTTCCTGTTCAGAGACAAACAGCATTCCTTCATCTTATTCAATTATTACAGCATAATTCTTTTTACTTTCACACCATTGATGGACCTGTCTTCCATTTCATACTACTGCTATCACTGTGGTGTCTGGGGGTATGTCTAGACTGCATGATTCTTTCAAAAAAAGCTTTTTAAGCTTCTTTCAAAACAGAATGTCCAGACTACAAAAAGCAGATCAAAAAAGTGATCCGTTTTTTTGAAAGAGAGCATCCAGACTGCCTGGACACTCTCTTGCAAAAAGGATACCCAGAACCACTTCTGGCAGGGCATAGGGGCAGCATTTACTTCTGGGTGCTGCTGCATGAGGCTTGCAGAGACGCATGCTTAAAGGGACCCTTCCACCCCCCAGCCAGCTGTTTCTCTGCTTCTGCTGTTGGCTTGCCTACCTCTCAGAGGGACACCAAAGCTTCTGCAGTGCATGCTCTGGTTACCCAGCTTTCTTGCACGCCACAGCAGTTTGGTTTTGTGTTGGGTTTTTCTGGTATTTTTATTTATTTTTTTGGCATAGAGCTGGAGCTGCTCCTGGACAGACAATGGCCCCACACTGCCATGCTGCAAATTCTGCTGCACCTCCATGACACTCTCATGATGCTCCTGGTGCATCTGGACTCAGACCTGCAGCCTTGGGTGCAGGACCAAAGCCCTTACCACCGAACTTCCTAGTGGAGAGGCGATTTTGGAGGCTGGACACCTGACTGGTGGGACCGGCTCGTCCTGGAGCAGACTGACTGGTGGTCCCGGCGCGTCCTGGAGCAGACAGACAACCAGTATTGGCTGAAACTTCCACATGCAGAAGGCCACATTCCTGGAGCTATGTGCTTGGCTCACCCCTGCTCTCCAATGACAGGACCCCCACTTGCAGCCCGCCATCCCCCTGGAGAAGCGGGTTGCTATTGCCCTGTGGAAGCTCACCACCCTGACAGCTACCGCTCAGTAGGACACCAGTTTGGCATGGGGAGGTCTTGATAGAGGTAAGGCACATCAGGAAAGGGCAGGGGGAATGCAGGGTGGAGTGGGAGCGTCTCCTGGACTCACCCAGGAACCAGTTCAGCCAGGGCATTAGGTCAGCAGTTACTTCTGGGTGCTGTTGCCTAAGGCTAGCTGAGACGCATGCTTAAAAGGACCTCCCCTCCTCCCCCCGGACAGCCGTTTCTCAGCTTCTGCTGTGTGCTTGCCTACCTCTCTGAGGGACGGCAAAGCTTTGCAGTGAGTGCTCTGGTTGGCCAGCTTTGTTGGACGCCACAGCATTTTTTTCTCTTTTTGCCATGGAGCCAGACCTGCCCCTGGTGATGGTGGGGGATGGAAAAGGGGGACCCTTGGGAAAGGGAAGGAGGAGTGTGGGGGGGGGCAAGGCCTGTCCCTGGGGGAGAGGGGTTGTGCTATCCCACCCTCACACAGCCCTGCTGCTGGCAGGGCACTCTCATAGGGTGTGGCTCCTGGGTCTTTGGAGGGGGAGAGGAAGAAGAACAGGCACCTCCCAAGGGCTCGGGCACCCCCTCTCATTCTCTGTTTTCTGTGTTTTTATGTCTCCTTCTGCAGGTGGTGACAGCCATCAACTCAGAGCTGCTGCACAGGATCATCCGCCTGGGAGACCTGGACACCATCGTAGCTGGCTTTCTGCCTTTGGATTCCTGAGCTCTGGAGGAGCCATCAAAGGGACATATCCCTGATGTAGGAGCTGCGCTCACGGGCCCTGGCATAACCCCGCCGCAATTCTTTCACCTTCTTCCTCACTTGATCCAAGGTGCAGGGGTGGTGGCCTCCCTTAGCCAGACCGTTGGCAATATGGCCATAAATGTCCGCATTCCTACAGCGTGACTGGAGAGACTGCAGAGACTCCTCCTGAGACCACAGCTCTAAAAGAGTCAGGACCTCAACCCCTGACCAGGCTGGAGCCTGGCATTTTGTGCCCATGGGTAGGTCCTGGGATGCCTCTCTAGAATAGCCATGGAAGGACCACAGCTCTAAAAGTGTCAGGACCTCAACCCCTGACCAGGCGGGAGCCTGGCATTTTGTGCCCCTGGGTAGGTCCTGGGATGCCTCCCTAGAATGGCTATGGAAGGGGGAGGGAGGTCTCAGGGACCTTTTGGTTGTGTCATGGCTCCTTGTTTGTGTGGCAGGGAGAGCCACACGGTTAGCAGACTGCTTTTACGGAAAAGCCCCTTTTCCGGAATAGCGTCTGTGGCCAATGCAGACGCACTTTTCCGGAAAAGAGCCCCGAGCGTCATTTTCGCGATCGGGGCTTTTTTCCGGAAAAGACTACTGGGCTGTCTACACTGGCCCTTTTCCAGAACAGTGTTCCGGAATAAGGACTTATGCCTGAGTGGGAGCAGAATAGTTTTTCCGGAATAGCGGCTGATTTTGTACAGTAGAGCATCGTTGCTTTTCCGGAAATTCAAGGGCCAGTGTAGACAGCTCGCAGCTTATTCCGGAAAAGCGGCGGATTTTCCAGAATAAGTGGCCCAGTGTAGACACAGCCTTAGGGTTCTGTTGTGAGGCTGGCTTCCTGCCACAAGGCTTGTCCTGGGTGCCTGTAACTTTAAGACATGGGCTAGAGACAAGAACTACAGAGCTGCGATAAGTGTAGACGGAGTGGCCACCAGGGTTTTTCCTGGAGGCCTTCCCCCCCACCCCCCGAAAAAACTGCCTCCCCCATGTATTTTTCGAAATAGTTATTTTAAAAAAAACGCATTCTTCCTCATAAAAGCAGGTTTACTGCTGTTGAAAAAGCCCACTGCATTCTTTCGATTTAATTTCCAAAGAACGTGACAGCAGTCTAGATGCAGGTGAAGGTACAGGCCACTTTTTTCGGAAAAACTCTGTAGTCTAGACATAGTCTGGGAGCCCAGCTACCTGCAGCACCTGGCATGTAAAGGAAATTTGAAAGAAGGCATCACTACCCCTCTGAGGTGGTTAGGACAAGACGCACAATGATGGCAGAAGAGCCTGTGGGCTGAGAACTCAAGGCTGAAATAGACTTTTTGGGCAAGTCCTTGATCATCTATAAGCCTCATGTTCCTTTCTGTAAAACAGAGCTGAGCCTACATCTGCCTATTCTGTGCAGCTTGCAAGAGGTGTCAGGCAGGACTGTCTCTCGCTGTGTCTGTGCAGCGCCTGGCACAACGGGGCCCTGATCTCAGCTGGAGCAGGGACGGTCCTTTGCTCTGTTAGTGCAGCGCCCGGCACAACGGGCCCTGAACTCGGGTAGGGCAGCTGACCAACCCTGCATTCCTAGCACTGGGTAAGTAACTACAGTGAGTCACTCCTGGAATAGTCCAGTTTATTTCTCATTGAAAGCTTGGACAGGTCTGGGCCACTGCGGAGCTATCCCTGTGGGGGTCAGGCCAAAGGCTCAAGCTCCCTCAGGAGTGACATACCCCCACACCAAGCCCCAGCACACTCCATCCAGTCCTGCCCTGGGCCTTCAAGCGGGGCCAGTCTCCTCCTTCAGATAGTTCTTGTAAATCTTGCGGATCCTGGCGATGTCCTTTTCGGGTGGCTGCTGCCATTCGTACCAGGAGTACCAGGGTGCCTGGCTCTGCAGGCTGGGGGCGGGGGGCGTCTTGGCCACAGCCTGGTGCTGGTTGCTGTAGTCCTCATCCTGCAGTGTCACCCAGGGGATGCGGAAGCTCAGGAGCCCTTTGGGGGGGAGAAAAGGCTGTTAGCAAGACAGGACAATCTCCATCTACAACCCTCCACCACACATACAGCTGGGCTCTCCTCCAGCTCCGCCAGTGCCCCTCAAGAGAAAGATGAATTGTACTGTAATAATTGAATAAGTTGAAGGAATTCTGTTTGTCTTTTAAGAGGAAGAAGAAAAGTATGTTAATGTTGATTGTAGGTATGCAGATCAAGGTGCTAGCCAGATGGGCCTGAGTTTAACAGGAAAAGGAACATTAGGTGTTAGGCAGAAAGCAATTCCAGATAATCAGGGAGATATAGACAGGAGATTGCTGTGTGCTTGATATTGAAATGAAGATACTTAACCACACTGATAATGTGAAGTTTTGCCCCTCTTTTGATCCTGTTAACTTGGCCTTTTGACTGTATAAATCAAGGGGTCTGAACCTTGTATGGTGCTCACATTTTTCTGGATGCATTTTAGCAGAGCTTTGCTGAAATAAACAGAGCGGTCTGACAAATCTGTGAGTCCTGTCTGACTTTGACAATCCCAAACCACAGCCCCTCCTAGCCCAGCTCTGGGCTCCCCACAGCTCTGCCAGTGCCCCTCACTCCTGACCAGCAATCCTCTGCTATTCCAATTCTGTGTCAGCCAGCTCCCTACTCACCATGGTCACGAGCTTTGTCAATCGCCTGGGTCAAGCGTTTATACTGCTTCATGCAGACACCTGCAGAGGAAAAAGAGGGGGTTGAGGGGCACGTCTCAGAGGAGAAAGAGACTGGGGAGTTTGGGGAGCCAACTGAGCCAGAAGCTCTTCTGCTAAGTGGCAGCTGTCTCACTTTGAGGCTGGGCTAGGCAGGGCGTCCCCACCTCCCTGGGGGCCAGGCTGAAAGGGGCGAGGCTGCCCCACAGGGGATGGGAAATGTCTCTTCTTATTCACTTTCATCCCCCTCCCTTTTACCCCATGAACTCCCCTTTGCCTCTTGGACTCGTCTGCCCCACCTCTGTACTGCCCCTGCCCTCACACTGTACTCCCACCACCCCAGAACTAGTCAGATAGCTCCCCACCCATCCCTTGCTCTAGCCAGAGGAACACGTCCCTGGGGCAGACTCTAAACCCCCAGGGGAGGAAAAGCAACGTACCTGTATGTGTGGGGTGGAAGGTGACGCCTGTGTGGGAGCAGATGAACTGTTCCAGGAGCTTCACGTTCTGTAGGGTGAAAGAGGGGAAGATGAAGCTATGAGCAGCAGGTGCCAGGGCCGGGTGGGAAAGTAGCTGGCTAGGGAGGACCCCAGGCCACTGGGGGACACTAGATTCCCCCAAAAGTTGAGGGAAGGTACCATATGGGCAGGACAGGGGGAGATCACAGAGCCGTGAGGGAGGTGTGACAGGGATCATACAGGCAGAGCAGGGGCACGGGGAAGGAACCACACAAGCAGGGCAAGCCTTATTGAAGGGCATTACGGAGCAGGGGGTACCGGGTTGTGGAGCTAGTCAAGGGAGCCCAGACCACACGCGTTGTCTCTCTAGGTCAAGGGGTGGAGGTCACAGGCCCGGCCGCGGACTGGGGCAGAAGGACTCCTGAACTGGGCTTGGCTCCTTACCCTGTAGTCCAAGTGAAGTTTCTGGTCTCGGCAAACGGGACAGGGATTCCCCGCAATCTTCTTTCCTCTCTGGCCAAACAAATGAGACAGTCAGAGCTGTGCCGCCTCTCCGCCCACTACAGCCACAAAGCAGTGCCCATGATGGGCCAGACCTCTGGGCCCATCTCGCCCAGTATCCCGTCACTGGTAGCAGGCAGCAACAGGAGAAGGTGCCAGAGACCCCTGGGGGTCAGATCTGGAACAGAACTGTGTGTAGCGGGGGGCTGTCTCCTCTGTAACTCCGGGTCCTCCTGCGCTGTGATGTGAGATTCTCACTGACTCTCCCAAATGCATATTAACCCAGACACGTAGGCTCAGCCTCCCGGGGAGAGACACAAAGGCAGGGAGGTGGAGACCAACACCAAGTTTCGGGTGAAGGGGCAGTGGCAGGCTGGGGCTGGAACCATGAGGGAGACCGACTGAGGTTGCTGGGGCTGAGGGCTAGGGGTGATGGACCCCTAACTCTAGGGGTCTGAAACACCCTGGCCCCGAGTCCTGTAAACACACCAAGTCTATGCTGTGCTGTATCCTGGAGGACCAATACATTTTGCTATTCTACTGCTGGCAGAATCTGTTCTTGCTGCTACAGGGGTGCAGGATCAGGGGAACCCCGACTGCGCTGTCCCAGAACTGTCTCCACACAACAGCCTTCCTGATCTTCCTCATGCCCTGCAGCATCTCTCCTCTGCCATTATACTAATCCCTAGCTCCTCCACAGGGCTCTATATCAGGAGATCACAAAACACTTTGCCAAGGAGGATGCTGTTTTTAGCCCGATGTTACGCATGGGACAGCTGACGGAGAAAAGGGCAGGGACCTGTCCGAAGTCACCCAGCGGAGGAGAGCACAGCAGCCTCTCCAGTGGCCAGGTATCTTCGGCACCTAGCACTAGAGTCCAATCCAGCCCGCCCCACTGTGTTCCCTTTGCGATGCCTGCTATGGATGATTCAGTCGTCCATGGACTAGCTGCCCATGGATCTAAGTTCTCTGCGTCCCACTGGATGTTTTGTTTTCCTGTTTGGCATCACCCGCCAATTTCCCTTCCTGTGCCTCTCGCCAAATCATCCCTTTGGCCCTGCTATGGATCTCACCAAGGCTAGTCACCAGGGCTGGCCTGAGCCATTTTGGTGCCCCAGGCACACAGCACATGTGCTGCCCGGCCATGGCCACTAGTACACAGCCCGGGGCCCGCCCCCGGGGTGCATGGCGCATGCGCTGCCCAGCCCGGCCTGGCCACCAGTGGTAGCTGGCAGCCTGGGCCGGGCTGCACCTGGCTGTGCAGGGCCCCGCAGCCGTGGGGGTTAAGGCGCTGTGGGAGCAGGGCGCACGGCACCTGATGGCAGCTATAAGGGACGCTGTGCACCCCTTACAGCTGCCATCAGGCGCCCCCATAAGTTGGCACCCTGGACAGCTGCCCAGCTTGCCCACTGTTTAGTCTGGCCTTGTTAGCCACACTAGGGGGCTTTGCCCTCCTGTCCAACTTCTAGACCCCCCCCCCAGTCACTAGAGACTCTACTCCCGTGCCAGATCCCAGGAGTCCTGGCTCCTGCCCCTCCCCCCCACTCTAACTACTAGACTTTAGTCCCCTCCCAGAGCAGGGGATAGCAGTCCTGGCTCCCGTCCCCTCTTCCCCCAACTCCAAAATACTACACCAAGAACATCTCTCTCTGTGGTCAGCTCTCCGACCCGCCTACGGCTCATGCCAGACCCATAGGGTGGAATCTGGGAGTTCACTGGCTTTTTTCTCTGTCTCCCGCCCCCACTCTAACTACTAGACTTTAGTCCCCTCCCAGAGCAGGGGATAGCAGTCCTGGCTCCCGTCCCCTCTTCCCCCAACTCCAAAATACTACACCAAGAACATCTCTCTCTGTGGTCAGCTCTCCGACCCGCCTACGGCTCATGCCAGACCCATAGGGTGGAATCTGGGAGTTCACTGGCTTTTTTCTCTGTCTCCCGGGCAGGGGGGGCGCATTGGCCCCAAGCCGGAGCATAGGCCAAGGGTTTGCACTCACTATGCAGGTCTTGCTGGTCTTCTGCGGGGGGATGGCTCCCTTGTGGTTGCGCCGATAGCCGAACCAGACGGGCTTCTCGCCGTATCTCTCGATGTACTCTAGAGGGGCGGGGGGAAGAGTTAGCCATTCCCAAGAGGGGGAGGTGTCTCACCAAGGGTCTTATAGAACTAAGGAGGTGCAACCTCTATCCCATTAGACCGCCCTGTACATGTGGGGAAACAGAGGAAGGAGAATGGCCAATGATCATACTGTGAGTCTGGTCAACAGATAGAAGCAGAACCCAGGAGTCCTGACCAAATTCTAACATACTAAATGCCCCTCTCCTTCCAGGGCAGGGGATAGAATCCCAGATCTGCCTCCCACCCCACTTTAGCCCCAACACGCTGACCACTAGCCACATGTGGCTATTTGGCTGGTTGAGTGTGGCTAGTTTACTATAGCAGTAGCCACTGCTTCAGAACTGATTGGACACCACTGCCCTAGAACAGTGTTTCTCAACCAGTGGTATGAGTACCTGGAGGGGGGGGGTTCGTCAATAACTGAAATTTGGAGAAAACTAAATTTCTGTTTTAAGTTTTACAGTACTTTATTATTTTTGTACTTTTTACACCCCAAAATGTCATCACCCACCTGGCTACAATTAAGCTGTTTAAACAAACGTGTTGCAATGGTAGAAAAAATTTTGTGCGCCTGAAAACTATAGGTACTGGAGGTACTTTTTTTTTTTTAATGGGTACTTAATTAAAAAAAGATTGAGAAACACTGCCCTAGAGCACTTCCAAAGCCCTTCACAAGGATGCCCCCCTGTGCCAGCCTGTGAAGCAGCAGGTTCCAAAACCCAGCATCAACCTCTTCACAATTCTTGGCTGGATACCTTCTGTCTCCAGATACTCCCAGGGTTTCTCCTTAAAGCGTGATTCGGTGTCAAAGGCAACTGGCTCTGCCGGCGTGGCTGGGGGGGGTGGGGGAGACGCAGGAGAGAGGCAGCAGGAGCAGTCTAAGAAAGGCCGAGTCAAGAAAGAAGAGGGGAAAAAAAAAAATCAGATAATCCCAGTGAGTGGCTGTCCCCACCGTTTCTAAAATATTAGATAATGATCAATGAAATGCAGCCACCTCTGGAGCTGGGGCAGCTAGGGAACAGCTGCATGGAAGAAATCACTCATCCATCATTGAAATGCAACCACAGCTGGGGAACAGCCAAACAGCAACACTACATGGTAGACAGTACAATCACTCACTCATCTCAGAAACAAAAGACAGGACTATGTAGCACTTTAAAGACTAACAAGATGGTTTATTAGGTGATGAGCTTTCTTGGGCCAGACCCACTTCCTCAGATCAAACCTTTTGATCTGAGCAAGTGGTCTGGCCCACGAAAGCTCATCACCTATTAAACCATCTTCTTAGTCTTTAAAGTGCTACACAGTCCTGTCTTTTGTTTCAGCTACACCAGACTAACACGGCTACATTTCTATCATCACAGAAATGCAGCCACCTCTGGGGTGAGCCAGCAGAGCAGCAGCTGCCCAGAGACACCCCATAAAGAACACTTCACCAATGCTGAGATGCAGTTACTGCAAATTGCACTGCTTGAACTTTGTCCCAGTGCTCTTGGGACAGTGGTCTTGGTTGAACTCTCTTTCTCTGCTGTGCAGTGTGGTTCATCACTGCACTTCACCCAGAGAAGGCTGCATTTCAATGGAACCCACCGCCACTCTCTGATGAAACAGCAGAGCGAGCAAGTGTGAAAGATTTTATCCTTGAGGGAAAAAGGGGTTGGAGAGCCCTAGCATGCTCTTTTTAGAAAGTGGCTTTAACAATATTTTTTGCATGTAATTTCCGAGTTTCTTCTGAGAAGAAAAAAAAAAGCCAGAGTTAAAACAAGCAGATGTGCTGTCTGCAGCTGTCCAGTCCAGAATTGCAAGACACCGCAGGAAGGTGCAGCGGGCTAGTGCCTCAGAGGTAAAAAGTCTGCAGGCTCCCAAAGCAGAGAGCTGAGTTCCCACCTGACACAGTGATACTACACAAGAGAATACCACCACGCCAGGGGAATGTAATATTTGGAGCCCCACAAATCTGTGGATATCTGCGGGTATCCAAATCTGCAGGTATCGGTGACTCATTTTTGTGGATACATATGGGGATACAGGGTTCTATTCATATCCCACTGCCATCTCAATTTAGCTAGTTGGCAGGTTAGCTCAGCATGGGACAACCACATTGTGTTATGCTGAAGTAGCAGCGGGATTCACAGGCCTACCGCCGATATCATTGCAGAGTGACTCGTGTCACATCGCCCATGCGGCCTAATTGGCCTTCGTGGAGTCGCAGCAGGACAAGGACATGTCATTTCGTGTTCCCCTATGCCACACAGCACAAGAGGAGCACACCAGCCATGTCACACTGCCGCCTCATGGTGAGATGACACAGCACAGCAGCAGGACCAGACCGAGCCATTCCGGCACCCAGGCAGACAGTTTAATTGCGCCCTGGGTTGGGGGAGGGCGCATGCGTGGCCCCGCCCGGCATGTAGGGGAGGGCGTGCGGAGTTGGTGGCGGCAGGACGCACGTGCCCAGCCCACCACAGCTTCCGCCGCTGGCGCGCAGTTCGGGGCTGCACGGGGCGGTCCGAGTTTGGCTCTGCAGGGCCCTGCAACCGTGGGGGAAAGGGCGCTGCTGGCCGGGGCTGCGGGGGTTAACATGGCCCCCATCTCGGGCGGCCGCTGGGAGCTGCTGCAGCCCGTTACACGCCCCTTCCAGCTACCATCAGGCGCCTCCCATAGGTTGACGCTCCGGACAGCTGCCTGGCTAGCCTATGCCTTAATCCGGTCCTGCACAGCAGCCAGACTGTCACACTACCACCCCTGTGGTGTGATCATTTCACAGCACAGTAGTCATGATGTCACATTGCCGCCCTGTAAGGTGACCTCACAATATGGAGCCATGATGTCACATTGCCCCCCCATGATGGGACCTCACAATATGGAGCCATGATGTCACATTGCCCCCCCATGATGGGACCTCACAATATGGAGCCATGATGTCACATTGCCCCCCCATGATGGGACCTCACAATATGGAGCCATGATGTCACATTGCCCCCCCATGATGGGACCTCACAATATGGAGCCATGATGTCACATTGCCCCCCCATGATGGGACCTCACAATATGGAGCCATGATGTCACATTGCCCCCCCATGATGGGACCTCACAATATGGAGCCATGATGTCACATTGCCCCCCCATGATGGGACCTCACAATATGGAGCCATGATGTCACATTGCCCCCCCATGATGGGACCTCACAATATGGAGCCATGATGTCACATTGCCCCCCCATGATGGGACCTCACAATATGGAGCCATGATGTCACATTGCCCCCCCATGATGGGACCTCACAATATGGAGCCATGATGTCACATTGCCCCCCCATGATGGGACCTCACAATATGGAGCCATGATGTCACATTGCCCCCCCATGATGGGACCTCACAATATGGAGCCATGATGTCACATTGCCCCCCCATGATGGGACCTCACAATATGGAGCCATGATGTCACATTGCCCCCCCATGATGGGACCTCACAATATGGAGCCATGATGTCACATTGCCCCCCCATGATGGGACCTCACAATATGGAGCCATGATGTCACATTGCCCCCCCATGATGGGACCTCACAATATGGAGCCATGATGTCACATTGCCCCCCCATGATGGGACCTCACAATATGGAGCCATGATGTCACATTGCCCCCCCATGATGGGACCTCACAATATGGAGCCATGATGTCACATTGCCCCCCCATGATGGGACCTCACAATATGGAGCCATGATGTCACATTGCCCCCCCATGATGGGACCTCACAATATGGAGCCATGATGTCACATTGCCCCCCCATGATGGGACCTCACAATATGGAGCCATGATGTCACATTGCCCCCCCATGATGGGACCTCACAATATGGAGCCATGATGTCACATTGCCCCCCCATGATGGGACCTCACAATATGGAGCCATGATGTCACATTGCCCCCCCATGATGGGACCTCACAATATGGAGCCATGATGTCACATTGCCCCCCCATGATGGGACCTCACAATATGGAGCCATGATGTCACATTGCCCCCCCATGATGGGACCTCACAATATGGAGCCATGATGTCACATTGCCCCCCCATGATGGGACCTCACAATATGGAGCCATGATGTCACATTGCCCCCCCATGATGGGACCTCACAATATGGAGCCATGATGTCACATTGCCCCCCCATGATGGGACCTCACAATATGGAGCCATGATGTCACATTGCCCCCCCATGATGGGACCTCACAATATGGAGCCATGATGTCACATTGCCCCCCCATGATGGGACCTCACAATATGGAGCCATGATGTCACATTGCCACTTTAGGGCCATGATACCAGCTAGCCCCTTGGGACAATGACGTCAAGGCAGGTGAGGCTGGTGACTGGCAACGCTGACGTCACACTGCATCCCGTTAGCGCCATGAGTTGACCTCACAGAAGGCATTTCCTGTACACGATGACGTCACCACGGGCCAGGCGGTGACATCACAGCAAGTGGCCCCCGCCGGCCCCCGTAGCCCCGCTCCTCACCTGAGCCCAGAAGAGCCTCCTGAGCGGAGCCAGCCAGGGCAGGTTGCACGCGGCCGTTCGCAGCAGTTGTGGTACGGTTACGTCTGCGCATGCGCGGTGACTCGACAAACGAGCGTGGCCTTGGCGGCCGCCATCTTTTACCACGTCACCACCGCTGTCAACGGTCTCGGCTTCGCCTTTTTTTTTTTTTTTTCTCCGAAGCCGTCTGGATAACTCGATCCCTCCGTGGTGCGTCGGACAGAAAACGAAGCCGGAAAAATTAAGAGTTGTAGGTTGAGGAATAAAAACTGCGCAACAAGCCCAAGACAATGCGGGGCGTTGGCTGCGCAGGCGCACCACCTTCCAGAAGACGGCTCGAAAAAACGACAGGGCCAACCTATGCGCATGCGCTTTCCAGAGAGTCGCGAGACAACGCCGCAAAGGCGGTGCCTGCTCGTGACGCCTTGGGGCGTGCACCGCCCTTTCCGCGCCGCGCATGCGCGCTGGGCCCTTTGCCTAACTGCGTCACAAACGTCGCCAATTTTATAATTGATTTTCCAGGCCGGCTGCTGCCCGGCCAAAAACGACAGGGCCAACCTATGCGCATGCGCTTTCCAGAGAGTCGCGAGACAACGCCGCAAAGGCGGTGCCTGCTCGTGACGCCTTGGGGCGTGCACCGCCCTTTCCGCGCCGCGCATGCGCGCTGGGCCCTTTGCCTAACTGCGTCACAAACGTCGCCAATTTTATAATTGATTTTCCAGGCCGGCTGCTGCCCGGCCATCGGGAGGGGAGCGCGGCGGCGTGCGCGGCTCGCGGTTTAAAGCCGGTTCTCGAGGCCCCGGCCGTTGGCGAGGAAGGAGGGGGGGGGTGGGGCG